AAGATGTTTTATTCTCTGCCTCTCTCTCTTTCTCAGATGGGTGTGCATGTTTATAGGTGTGCATGTGCCCGTGTGTGTGCAGGTGCCCGTGTATGTGTGTGCATGTGCCCGTGTGTGTGCAGGTGCCCGTGTATGTGTGTGCATGTGCCCGTGTGTATGCAGGGCTTGTGAGTATACATGCATGTGGAGGTCAGAAGACAACTTCGTGTTTTTCCTTCGAGGGTGTGCATCTTTTTTTTGAAGCGGGGTCTCACTGGCCAGAAATTCACCAGTTAGGCCAGGCTGGCTCCAGCAAGCCATGTTTCAATAGCCTCACCAATTTTACCAGGCTCTCAGGCTGACCAGCAGGCCCTTGGGATCTTCATCTCTCCAACACTGGGGTTCCCAGCACATACCACTGTGTGTTTGGGGGACTGAATTCAGGTCCTCATGCCTGCAAGGCCAGCCCTGTACCAGCTGAGCCATCTTCCCATGCCAGTTCTTTGTTCTTTACTGACGTTTTAGGATTTTTATAACAGAGGATGGATCTTTGGTAAAACTTCGTTTTTCCCCTTTATACTTACCCCAACCTTTCATGGGAGGTTAATTCCCAGGTATGTTATTTTTCCTGGAAATTTTCACACTGTCTTAAAAAGGCATTTTTTTTTTTTGAACAATGGTTTTAACTTTATCCCTTGGCAGATACAGATAATATGCGACAAAACACCACAAAAAATGTCAATTTCCCCTGGCTGTATTGGAAATATTCCTAAAGATAAACATTGTAGCCTAGAGCACAGCTATTTTCTCACTGTAACATGCAGCTTCAATCCGTCTTCCATCTGGGCTGTTTTTAAATAGAAATTCAGAGACGCATTTCAACGGGAAAGCAATTCTAAACAGATACAGTATCAACCACCAGGGTTCTGTAGTGACTGTCACAACTATGAGCCAAACAGCCCATTAAACCCTAGAAAAGTATCCAAAACATCACAGATACAACCATCACTCAGCAGAAGCCATCAGCACCAGGTGAGCTCAGAACCATTTTAGATGATAGATGTGCAGAGTGGAAAGAACAGAAAACGTTTTTTGTAATGTATCTGTCTCCTTAATTTTGGGGCTAAATATCAAATATGCATGGGCATAAAGTCAAAGTCATTTTCTTTCAGACCTTGTTCTCAGATCATCCAAACTTTTTCATGTATTTTGTTGTTCATTTTCATGTAGGTAAACGCTGAGAAGGAAAACTACCCTAGAACTCAGTGTTGCCTGTTAGAGACTTATTTAAATGGCTTTCCTACAATCCAGTCCTTAACTCTTCAGTGGGTGGATACATTATCTCACCTCTTGTTTAAAGAATAAACTCAAGGAAGTTTTACCTCTAGCGCTGGGTTTTCAGATTCTTTGATGTTTCCCCAGTTAGGGAACTATCCCAACTGATTTATTGCCGTAGCCTCTCTATTCTTCAGATTTGTGCAATAAAGTTTTGCTTGAATTCTCAGCAGCTAGCCAGGGGTGTGCTGACATTGTTGGGGTCATTTTCCTTACAGCCATTCTCATGTAATAAAAGGCAAACTTTATTTAAAGTAGAAATAGAATTTTTGAGGCTATAAAATTGAAGAATTGTAGTATACCCCTGGTATTTGCTTTAGAGAGACTTTATGTAGCAGAAAAGCACAGAATGAGGTGGAAGTTGGCCGCATTTAATACCTGTGAAACAGACTGAACTTTCGCAGGTTGTTGTTGGAGATGCATGGAGAGTGTTTGGTGCGGCACAGCTTGTCCTGGAATAAGTCCAAATAGTCTTTTTTTTCTCTTTTTGCTTTCTTATTTTGGTTTTTTTAAGACATGGTTTCTTTGTAGCCCTGGCTGTCCTGGAACTCTCTCCACCACTGCCTAGTTTCAAATATTCTTTAACCCAGGAATTTTCATTCTGGAATTCCTCAGGAAATCACCAAATGTTACATATGGTATCTAAACTGCGGCATTATGATTTTTGCTCATACTAATAAGATATTGGAAATGACACAAATGTCCGTCATAAAATAATTGGTTACATAAGCTGTATGTGCTGGGCAACTCTGTAACCTTTAACCATGACGTAAGTCCGCGTTTGCTGCCCACCCAGAGAGGAAAACACCAGAATGGCATGCATATTACTAAACCACAGTCACCAGGCTGGTTGTCTTTCCCATTGGGGTGACCAAATAGCTGACCAGAAGCAGGCTAAGGAGAGTTTACCTTAGCTCACAGTTCAAGGGACGCAAGGCCACTATGCTGGGAAAAGCAAAGCAGCAGGAACTTGTGGTGTCTAGTCCCATCAGGAAGGAAGGAAGGGGAGGAAGAGGGAGAGAGGAAAGGAGGGAGGGAGGGAGGAAGGTTGTGGGGAAAGGGAGAGAGAGAGGCAAGGCAGAGACAGAGTGGGGAGAGGGAGGGAGAGATAGAGATAGATGACAGATGACAGACAGACAGATGAGATCAAGACCTGCTGCAGGGACACATTTTCTGTGACATTTCCTCTCCTAAAGACTTACATCTTGGCGGGCGGTGGTGGCGCATGCTTTTAATCCCAGCACTTGGGAGGCAGAGGCGGTTGGATCTCTGGGAGATCAAGGCCAGTCTGGTCTACAGAGCTAGTTCCAGGACAGGCACCAAAAACTACAGAAAAACCCTGTCCCGAAAATCCAAGAAAAAAAAAGACTTACATCTTGAAGACCCCACAATCTTCTGATCCAAAACCATGACCCCACTGGCAATCATGTGTTCATACACATGACTCTGTTGGTGACATTTCATATTAAGATCACAGAAGTCAGTTTTGCCTAAATTTGACAAAATTCTCCTTGCCATATTTTCCCATGTGCTTATGGGATTCTGTGTCCTTGCCTTTTCTCCAGCCCCTCTTCCCTCCAGCTACACTGGGCCATCTTCACTGTTTATGCTCACTCCTCTGAGGAACTCTTTACAAAAATGGATTTCTGGGCACATAAATGAGGGCAATTCAAAGGTTGGTATTTTCAGCCAAGCCGTTCCACACTCCAAATCCCTTTAGCAAAATACCAACTCAGTATCACCACGTGTGTTTAAATGATGGATCAACAGGCCCGACACTGAATTCCAAGTCTGTGCATAGTAACTGGACTACGCACCAAATCCTTCATCCTGGCAAATGACAATGCCACTTATCTGCCACTGTCCTCAAGGTCAACGTGTTTTCTAACTACTACTACTCTACTGTGTGTGTGTGTGTGTATGTATGTGTGTCTGTGTGTCTTTCTATCCAGATCTAGAGATATATATGGAATAGAATGAATCTCTTCACCCGGCTGTTATTTATTTGTTTGTTTGTTTGTTTGTTTATATGCAGAGTCTCATTCTGTAGCCCAGGCTGGCAGCCTGAAATTCACTGTGTATACCAGGCTGTTCTTGAACTTGCAGCCATCCTCCTGACTCTGTTTACATGTTGTATTCTCACTCCTCTGTCTGATGTCATCAGTGAGGTGTCCTCTCATTCATTTAACATCAAAACCAGTCTTTATACAGCCTGTGTTCCAGTTGTTCTGTAGTTAGCAGACACCTCTGCTGTTTGCTGAATTCACATGAGAAAAGCTTTGTGTAAGCTCCAGTGCTTACTCCCAAAGCAGAGTCTCCTGAAGTAGTCAACTGTTGGAAATGCTTTCTTATCTACAGATGCTTTAAAGAATGATGGTTATTATACCTTATTCATATGGCTTCTGAATCTTATCTTTTTTCTGCTTGGTGTTTTTTCGCTATTACATATGATCTCTTGATTATATGTGATCAGTTTAGATGATCTCTTCACGTATGACTTCCTATGTCAGGCACTCACAGAGATATGAGAGTAGCCAAGCCATGCTCTCTCAAAGAATTTGTATTCTATTAGTGGCAGATGGACCTGCTGAGAATGAAAGTGACATAAGAACAAAGCAGGTGAGGAGGACAGTGGGGAAGTGCCAGACTCCCCAGTGTCACCTGCAGGGGCAGACATGGGGGCTTCAGAAGGACTGACAGACAGAGCTTATTCTGAGTCTTTAAACATCGCAGCTGCTTTGTCTGGACTCAGTGTGGCGGTTTTTGTTTTATTCTATATTTTATTTTGTCATGTTTGGTTGTTTTCTATTAGAAGCTTGTTCTTTTCTAGTGAGAGACAGAAGGGGCATGGATCCAGAGGAGAGGGGAGGGGAAGTGGGGAGGAGCTGGGAGGAGTAGAAGAGGGAGAATTACAACCAGGATACATTGTAGAGAAAAGAGTCTATTGCCAATAAAAGGGGAAAATGAGTACAGCAAAACCCAAAATGATTGCACCTGGAGCTGGTAACCCAGCCACCCCCATCTCCCCCTTTCAGAACACACCCTATTTGTGACAACTGCAATGACCTCTTCTTGCCAGGGTTGACAATTCGCTCATTCACCAAATTTAACTGTGTAAAGAGAAGTCATGTTTTTCTTACTCGTTTCTATATCCAAGAGTTGAACATAGTGCTTGACCCAAGGAATGGGTAGGAAGCTAAAAGGGAAGGCAGAGTAGGATCAAAACGAAGTGGGAAGTGTAGAAAAAGCAGGGAGGGGACTGAGGGAGTGGGGAGTGTGGGAGAAGCAGGGAGGAAGATGGAAGGTCACATCCTGTGGAGGCACCGCGTCTTCACCTCTTACAGCTGTATGAGCTACAACCAGGCTTCTGTGGTCTCTCCTGCTTTAATTCCTTTGTCTGTAAAATGGGCATGATTACAGCTGGGCTTTAGTGGGATAATCCTTGGAAAAGGCTCCTCACATTGCCTTCTGGCCAGTGTTTGGGTGCTAACCTTAATGGTCAAGGGTCTGGCCATGTTGAGCCACATTGCAAAGATTCTTTTAGAACAAAAGGAGATATTAATGGGTTTCATGGCTTCTTTGTCTTCCCTTGGAAAGATCTCTGTCTCTTGGAAAGATGATCTGCCTTGCTGCTGTCACTGGGAACTTCTATTCCCATCACTCATTCGAAGGCTCTTGTATTTCAGGCTTGTCCTTGGCTATCTTTCTGATCCAAGTGAGGACCTTCAGGATCCTGTAAGTGACAAATTCTTCAAGGAGATTTGGGTTTCGACAGCAGCTCGGAATGCTACCATTTATGACAAGGTGAGGTTTATCCCCTCCCCCCTTTTCATTCATTCTCATCATAATTTTACTGAGACAGATAGAATATTATTAGTATAAAATAATCAGTGTGCCTCCATGTTGTAAAGCTATCTCTTTGTAGACATTGAAATGCAACGATCAAAGGGCTAGTGATGTAACTTAGTGGTTGGGTCCTTGCCTAGCATGCCCGAGGCCCTGGGTTATCACTTAGAAGAGGCCTTAGTGACATCCTGTCCACCATAGGATGGACTCTCATCAACAGCATCACTAGCACCTGACTAAGCAGCCTTTGAAGGTGTTTAGCGACAGAGAAGATAGGTTGATAGGATCCAAAGATGAGCACATTGGTACTCAACCCATCTCAGTTGGTTACCCACACGAACTGTGTGGTGGCTTGGTTCTCCCAACCCTTCCTTTCTTCCTTGCGGTTATTAAGGGGTTAAGTGTTGTTTGATGGTGGATAGGTTACCTCAGATTTGTTGACCATCTGTGTGAGAAGTTGGGTAAGAATGTGTCCTCCTTCAGGTCTCCTAGAGCCCCTTCTGGACAGACATCTTCTTAGTGGGGCAGAATGTTGAAAACCCATCGTACTGCCTGTTCAGCCCCTGAAATTGGAAAGAAACAGAGAGAAAAGACATTTTGGTCACAATGGGATAAACCTGCACATGACCCTGTGGAATTATGTCTCTTGGCTACGGGAATGATGCTGAGTCTGTGGATTCCTGTCCTCATTTTTATCCAATGCCTTCTGAAATATGCAGGGTAAACTGCTGTGGTGTCTGGAGTGTATTTCAGTCAGCAAAGTGTTAGATGCTAACGACTGTTAACACTAATCAAACTTGCAATTTACCCGGCAGATGGGAATCTCCAGTGAAACTCAGGGCTGGCCATTTTAGCATTTCCTCCCAGCATGCGTTCCTCACTGCCAGCTTGTCTTTATTCTGTGGCTAATGAGCTCTATAGATGATAAAATGAGAATGTGGCTGTGGGCTTTTGAAATGAAAAGAAGTCTCACAGTGTCTTTGTAGCATAAAAAATCAGCAACTATACTCAGGTGGTGGTGGTGCAGGCCTTTAATCCCAGTACTTGGGAGGCAGAGGCAGGTGGATTTCTTTGAGTTTGAGGCCAGCCTGGTCTACAGTGCTAGTTCCAGGACATCTAGGGCTGTTACACAGAGAAACCCTGTCTCAAAAAAAAAACCAAAGCAGAAACAAAAGCAGCAACTATGGTTGGTTGGTTTGGTTGGTTGTTTGAAATCAGGACTTACTACATAGCCCAGCTGGTCTTAAACTTATGATTCTCCTGCCTCAGCTCCCATGTGCTGGAGATTACAGGTAGGCAAGTGCCACTACGTCCAGATGTAAACAGTAACCCTTCAGCCTGTGCTTTGGCATAAAATTGTTTCATAAAACAAAGCTGTTGGGATGAATCTCTTCCATAAGGTCCGTGTACTTGCTTTTAAATAAGTAACTCCGTTTCCAATTTGTCTTTTAACAGGTGTTCCGTTGCCTCCCAAATGACGAAGTGCACAACCTAATGCAGCTGAGAGACTTCATAAGCAAGCCCATATTGGCAAAAGATGACCCCATTCGTGCTGAGGAAGAACTGAGAAAGATCCGAGGCTTCTTGGTGCAGTTCCCATTTTATTTCTTATCTGAGGAAAACTTGCTGCCTTCTGTCGGAACCAAAGAAGCCATTGTGCCCATGGAGGTTTGGACTTAAGACAGACTTCTTTGCAACCCAAGGACTTCCAGTGTGGAGAATGCATTGCATATGGTGACCTCCCAAGGGCCTCACAGCCAAAGTCAGGCCTGATGCACTCCTGGGACCAACCCACTGGACTTTCTGGAGAGGCTGAGCGGGACAATGGTCACGTTGGTGGAAGGACACTCGGCATAAGCAAGCCTTCATTATTCCTCCTTTCTGTCCTTGAGGAAAGTGCTTATGTTCTTGTTGGTGGTGTTGTTCAAACAATACCAAATACAGATATCAGAACCCATCTCTTTTGCTAATGAGAACCTGCCTGTAACTGGGATGCAAGTTGTCAAAAGTTACCTGATTCTCTTGTTCTCCTCGGATGCTCATCTATGCAGCTGGGGCCCACCAGACATGCCCTCAGCTTGTCCATACAGCCCTGTTTAAGAGATTGTTTATCAGGGAGAAGTGTGGAGAGTCACTTCAGAGTCCTCAAGATTCCAGATGAGGCTGTATCCTTCTGGTTCTGATGTGAGGGTATAACTAAGCCAAGAAGTTGCTTTTTGTTCCTTTTCAGTCACTGTTAAGACAAAACAGGTTTTGCCTAGGTACCAGCATTAGGCACTTCTGAGGAGAGCAACGGTGCATCTTGACAACAGGAAGGCATTAAATTCCAATGCTGAACAAGAAGTTTCCCTTGGTTTCCAAAGATACTGCCAAGTTGTATCCTTATCGTTGAGCCTATCTGATAAAATCTGTAAACACGTGCAGGGTATGCCAAAACATAGCAACCAGATAAACACAGAGAGAGTCTCCAAGGCGTCAGTGGGAATCCAGTTCAGATAAAGGACAAGCTTCTCCGTTTATAGAATCCCTGTTCTACTTAGCCACTGGATTGACCAAAAAGCTGGATTTCTCCATAAGCAACCCAGTGGATGAAATTAGCCTTCCAGAAGAATCAGAGGCGTCATAATGCCTTCCAGCTAAGAAGCAGGAGACTAGCCTTATTTACCCTTCCATTTTGCCATTATGACTTCTTTAGGGGAAAAGTGCTAGGTTATAAAAATGAGTGACTTTGCTTACACTGAGAACTGATACAGTAACATTCCAACACGACTTGCACAGAAGTTGCAGTAGTCATTCACATTGTCCCCGTGTGAAATCTGGATACCCACTTCCCCTTTCAGAGGGTATGGTGTCCTTTAGAGACCAAATTTTAGAGTTCCTTTCACGTCCTAGGAGCATCTATGGATTCCTGGAAGCCTAGGGTCCTTTGGGGGTCCTCTTCAAAGCAACTCCTGACACATGTTTTGATGAACGAATATGCTGGTTTGAAAGATGACACAGGACCACAAAGCCAGTTCTATGGGTTAGTAACGGAGTGACACTCACGGGAGGATGGGAATATTCCACAAATGAGGTGGGATTCGTAATCAACATTGAAAATGAATATGTTTTTATGAATAAATAAATTCTTATATGGCCAAGGATGGTGACTATACAGATAAAGATAAGATTACTTTTAAAATATTCAATGTGCATGGAATACTTCAAGATTTATTGTATTTTAATTTTAAAAAAATCTTTAAAATGTTAAAGTAGCCAAACAGCTGCTTCTTGGTTTTGTATGCAATGTTCTCATAAGAACATAAAGAACCAGTAAGGGCCCCAAATAAATCATCTACTTTGACCCTTTCCCATTGTATAGATGAGGGAACTGAGACTTGTATTGGAGGAAGGGATGATGTAAGCCACCCAACAGATGTGCAATAGGCTTCTGTAGCCAGTGCCAGCCACTCATTGCCTCACGGCTACCCCGAACTGAGGACATGCAACCCACTGTTCTGAATCCTGTGGTCTGGGTTTATTTGTCTCTGCCTGCTACAATGGGAGCCACACATAGCAGGAACATTGTGGGTTCTTTAGTCTTCAGACCCTGAAATCGTGCCCAATGCAAAGAGAATGCCAACAAATGTTTGCGGAGTGAATACGATATAGAAGAGGGAGCCAATGAAAACCACACTGAATCTTCCTGCTTGTAAACTTCTGTGGCAAGTTTTCCCACTGGATCTTCTCAAAGATGAGATGCTTACCTGTAAAGAGATTTACATGGAGGGGCCTTGTGGGAAATTCAAGTGTGATGAATACCTTCCTGTGGTAACTGTTTACAGAGTCCAACCATCTACCAAGATGCACAGGACATGGGCATGAGCTCGACCACAAGCTCATTGCCTGCCATTCTTGGACACCACTACTGCCTTCTAGAACTACAGCGCCATATCTGATAAAGACTTTAAAATGTTACTAGTCTGTGTCTTGAGAAGCTGTTTCAGATCTGCTCAGTGTTTCAGATTAACCACAATCTCTTGAAATGCCCATCAGTGCCCACCTAATGTTCTGCCAGTCTCTGTCATAACCTTTGTTTTCAAGAGGCCAAAAAGTTTATTGTTAAAAGAAGTGAAGAGTAGGTGCTTGTGGGAGCTGCTGTGGCCACGCACCAAGCTCAGTGCTGTGGTAGCAACTGGGGTACAGCAATTCCCCTTCAAATCAATGGGGTGGTCTTAATCCTGAGCCACAGTGCAGCACAGAGCAGCTGAAGGGATTCATGGTGAAATAAAAATATTTGTTTTTAAAGTGCTTTTCAAAGAGGATTTTGTCAGTAGGCGATCACGTTGTGGAGCGTTCATTTGTGATGTAAGAACTTGGGTAAGAACATGTACTCTATCCCGAATGAACAGAGCTTGAAGACATTTGCCAGTATGTGCTGAGAGTCGCTTTCCTGTAGAGCTGGTAAACTGCCTGTTGTATGAGCACGAGGGCCTGAGCATGGGCTTCTGGCAGCTATGCAAGAAATGGCTTTCATCTGTAACCAGAGCTAGCACCATGCGGAGGAGACAAGTGGGTGGGTCCCAAGGCTGTTGGCCAGCCACTCAGCTCAGTCCACACACTCTGAATTCAGTAAAAGAACCTGTTTCAAAATGTAAGGCAGAGAGCAAAAGGGAAGGAAGGCGCTTCAGTGTTAGCTTCTGTACTTCCAGACACGCACACACACGCACATTTTCATGAACGCATACACAAAATCTGCATTGATTTTAAATTATTTTAGGTCAGTCTACAGAGTCATAGATGTTATCCTGACATTTTCATACATAGGTGTCATTATCCTTAGTTCTCATTTGTTCCCCTCCGCCTGTCTCCCATCATTCCCCAGTGCCCTCTATTTCTTCCTGTAAGAGTCTGCAGTTCTTCCTACAAGCATTCCTTATCCCTAACCAGAACTCTCCTTTTTAAAAAAGATTTATGCTTTTTTATTTATATGTATGTATCTTGGAACATGTGCCATTTGTGTGTGCACCTGTGGAGGCCAGAAGAGGGCATTGGATCCTCAGGAGCTAGAGTTACAGGTGTTTGTGAGCAGCTTCCTCCTATATGAAAACCATTTTAGATGAGAGGAAAGTTCCCTGGACACAGGAATCAGGCCTGTTGATAAGCTACTTAGACAACACAAGTCCAGGATCGGGGCCTGCCATGGCCAGAGTCTAGTCAGGGGCCCGGTCTAGTCAGTGAGAACTTCCAGGCCTGTCAGAGGCTACCTTGTCACCATGTGATCTTTTTAATTGTGTGGCAAGGGGCGGGGTCGGGAGAGGGAGGGAGGGAGAGAGAGAGAGAGAGAGAGAGAGAGAGAGAGAGAGAGAGAGAGAGAGAGAGAGAGAGAGTTGTTTGGCACAAGCCCATCACCCTTATGACTTCTAACTAAGGACCCCCAAAGACCCATCTCCAGCCATCACACTAAAGGTTAGGGGTTCAGCAGAAGAATTTGGGGGAAAGGGTGCAAGCATTCAATGTAGAACAAACTTCTGAACTCAATCATGTTTAACTCAAACAATCACTATTTTAACCTGGGCTGTTGCTCTTGTCCCTCCTCGCGTCAGGATTGGCAATGTTAGTGTTTCATTTGCTGTCACCCTCTGTGACAGAGGTGGAAGGACCCTTCATGTCCCCTCAGCTCCCTCTACCCTCTCTTCCGTGAAATGAGGGAGAAAAAGGATTTTATGGGAGCTCATGAGTGTATCTTCATTTCCTTAGAAGTCTGTCTGAGGTCTGTGACTCTTGGCAGTTGGTAATCTGAAGTGAGCTGACCCAGCCCTCAGCCTGGAAATTGAATCTGGAAGAGTTCTGGGAAAGAGGCTCAGGGGGTCTGACGCAGAATAAAGCCCCCTCTGTGTGTGTGCACATGCGCACTTGTGTGCACATGCATGTATTCAGGAGTACTCACTAACCCATGTGTGCACATTTTAAGATGTCATATTCTATTGCCCTCCTCTGTTTTTTGTTCCTTTATTTCTTTGTTTGTAGACAGGGTCTCTCTGGAGCTGGGGTTGCCATTTTGGCTAGCGTGGCTGGTCAGTGGGCTCCAACGAGCCACCTGTCTCTGCCCGTGCATCGGCCCCTGGCTTTTCCGTGAGTTCTGAGCAGGCCATTGTTCTTCAACAGCAGGTACCCTACCCCTGAGCCATCTCTCTGCCCTGATTGGAGAGGGGAGGGTGTAAAGAAGAGTAAATGCCACAATGTGATTCCTTATGATGACTTTATCTACACACGAAATAGTCCTGCTTCTCACAGGATTGGAAGGATGCAATGTAACAAGGCAAAGTGGGTCCACTCCTGGGATTCCGGCTCTTTGCAGGTGGAAGCAGAAGACCCTCAACTAAACAGTGAGGCCCAGGTCAGCCTGCGCCACAGAGGACCAGCCTCAAGTACGAAAACAAAAACCTAAAAGCATCCAACCTTTCATGGTTTAATTTAGATTTATCTTTTTTTTTTTTTTTACCATTTGTGTTTATTAATTTTAAAAGCAATCAAACATTGTATAAAGGGAAATTGTTGCAAGGGTCATCTTAAATTTCAGGTTTTGAGGTCAGGGTGGACAGCAGTACAAGCAAACCATGGATTTAATTACCCACTGTTTCCAGGCAACAGTCATTTCCCACTTCATTCTAGATAAATGCGCTCCGCTGTGTGTTGTCCTAGGCTGCTGGATTCCGGGAACCTGGACATCTTGTCCGTCCCCTGACTACTCACTTAAATTAGTCACAGGAAGTAGAGCCCATCACACTAACCCACCCGTGTTTTAAATGCAAAGTTGATGTCCTGCAGCTGGAGCGCACACCGTGACACCAAGTGCAAACGCCAAGTGGCCGCGTCAGTGGCCCTGTCAGGCCTCTGGCTGAAGGCATCTCAAGTCCAGACTGACTCCTAGTTTTGATTTGACTTTGACTAGAATGGTGCCACACACAGTGCCTGGCATTCCTATATGACACCCCATAAATAATAAATGTTACCTGTCTCTAGGTAAAGGCGTTCTGGTCCTTCTTCAGAAGACCCAGGCAGGCCACGTTGGCCAGCAGACTCAGGGAAATTACCATTTTCTCCATCAGCAGAGTTGTCCAGCCTCTCTGTCCCAGGACCCAGAATCTGGCAATGTGTTTGTCTTTGGGATGTAGTCACATCCCTTTGGGAACAAGACTCATGTGGTTTGGGTTCCGGGAAGATGTGCTGGGCTGAAGCAAGCTTCTCCAGCTGAGCGCTTACAAGCAGTGTGGCTGAGCCTGAGCACAGCTGGAACGCCCCGCAGGGTTGGGGTTGTCTTCTGAGAACTAAAATCAAGGAGTCTGTGTCCCTGGCCGTGCCTTCCATGGGGCACTGAAAATGGTGCTAGCATCTGGCTTTGCTGTGAGACCAGGGCTTTCTGTGTGTACAGAGTACCTTGGCTAGGTTTTGTTTTGTTTTTAGGACAGAGTATACATTCATTATATAATTAAAATTGTGATATCAGCAGTGTCTGTTTGGGGCTTATTTCTCATTCTGTGTGGGGATTTCCAGAGCCAGGGTCAACGGGGTTGGGATAACGATGGCACCACGTGTCCCTGACACGTGTTCACCGGTAGAACCCCCAAGCAAGGCCAGATTTGGAATCACAGCATTCTCTGGTCCACAGGTGTCTTCCATGGGAGGTGCAATGACACAGGGACTGACTCTAACCCTCATCCTTTAGTTTATTCTAGAAGATAAAATAGATAACTAGTTTATTATAGAAGATGACAACATCCCATCAAAGTACTGGGGAAATCTCAGAGGTCAGACCAGGGTGCCCACAGCCCCGTGCTTAGCTTAGCAAGTGGAGTGTAGAGCTATTTCCACTCTCAAAATAGCGGTGACCAGGATAAGGGGCAACTGAACGCTCGTGGAGAGAACAGCCAAGACTGGAGAGCACGCCGTGTTATTCTCTGAGGACACCAGGGAAGACATAATCACCACCCACGATAATAACAGCTGATGTGAGGAACTTTCTGGGCTACAGCCTCCTCTGAGCACTTCACCCTGTCCTGGTTTTCTCGACTGGCCTTACTACCTTTTCAACTCCCTTAGTTAGACTTGGAGGTACAAGAATGTCTCCCCTCCAGACTCATGCTGATATTTAATTTCTGTTGAATCAACGTGAAGATATGGAACCTGCCTGAAGGGATGGTTAAGCCATCAGGGCTCTGCCACTGTGAATGGATGCATGTCATTACCAAAGAGTAGGTCAGTAGCAACAGGAGTGGGCTCTTGAAGACCGAACACATTCAATCCAATTTTCTCTTCCTCTCTTGAGTGAGCTCACAACCCTTCCGCCGTGTCCTAAGGCAGCACACCTGGCCAGATGTTGACATGTGTTCCTGGACTTCACAGGCTCCAACACTGTGGGAAAATTGATTTTTATTGTTTATAAATTCCCCACTATGTTTCTAGTAGCAGAAAGTGGAATAAGGCAGCAATCAAATGATAGTAATCTCCAGGTGGGGGTGTCTAAGCAGGGAGGAAGGAGACACAGGACTGAGGTAAGAAGATGCTAGATGATGTCTTTGTTTCTGTTTTACATCCATTGTTGATGGTAGAAAAAGAGTCCAAACTGATGTCTCACTCCGAGAGAGAGAGAGAGAGAGAGAGAGAGAGAGAGAGAGAGAATTTCTGAAAATCTTCTGTAGTTGTTTTAAGTGCCTGGGGATGGAGCCCAGGGCCTCAGAGATGCCAACAAGTACTTTCCTATGAGCTATATTCCCAAACTACCTTTCTATACTTATTCAGAGAACAGGAATTCCTGTTATTTGCATTATGTTATCTGGTACAAAGGTTGCAAGCAGGCCTCACAGGCTTTGCCTAGCCCACAGATACATTTAGCTAAACCAAGCAATGTTGTCTAACATTGAGGATTAGTCACCAAACTCAAATACGGGATTTCGAGTAAACTTTTGGTTGTTGGGCTTCTGGAAAACAAGTTCTCTAGATACAAATAGCACAGTAATGATTCCTGCAGGAAGTAAAGAGTACTTCCTTTTATGGGGACATCTACTGGCCAGGTCACCAGAGTGCTCCCCATGAACCTTCTGTGTGTCTGACCTGGGACTTTCTTTGGCAGCTATAAATTGGTGCCGAGATATTGCTTATCTTTCCATCCAGGTTCCAAGGAAACCACGGCATCCTGTCTTTGTGACTTAGTTATGCCAGCAGGAGAATGAGAGACCATGTGGAGAAAAGGGATGGGGTGACAGGCAGCAGCAGTCGCTAGAGGCAGTGAGAAAGCTGTGCAAGGCAAGCCAGATCCAGCCGAGCTACCTAGGAATCCAGTCAAAGAATCCTGCAGCTGAACCCAACCAAAACTAACTCCAGAATCAGGAGCCAGTAAGATTGGCACTGTTGTAATGCTGGTGTCACAGGTAGGGACAAATCTCATCAGGGCACTCTGACTATCCTTTTGCACATTTAATTTCTCCATGATCTCATGCTATTCAGCTTCTAGACTTGCCACGTGAAGTAGCCCACATAACTTTTTACTCTTCTTGTATAACACATTTGTAAATAATGAATATATTATGAACATGCAACTTGATGAATTTCCACAAGTTTAATGAATGCCTGATCGGTGCCCAAATCAAGAGGGCATGGGAAAAAAAAAAAAGAAAGAGACTAGGATAGACAGGATTAAAGAAAAAAAAGGAAAAGAAGGAGAAAAGGAGCGTGGAGAACGACGAAAAGGAGAAAAACAGAAGCAGGAAAGAAAGGGGAGAGGGAGGAGCGGGTCCCGCTTCTGCTTGCCTGTGTTCACATCATCTCACCCCTCGGCTCCAGTCACAGCAGTCAGAGGTTTCTGATGGACATTCGGCCTGAGGTGGTTGTAATTCATCCCTGTAAGCAACTGCAGCCAAACTTGTAGGTTCACAAATTGGCTGAGGCTGGAATATTTTCTTTGCCCTGTCATTGCTTTGCGGTCTTGAGTGAAGAGAAAGATGACCTAGAAAAGGTCAAAGAGCACTGCTAGGTTTGGAATTCCCTTGCACAAGTTCAGCCAGTTGTCACGAGGCAGAAGGGAATGCAGGGAGAGGAAGAAGCTTGCCAAGGGTGGAGCTTTCAAAATGAGAAGATCTGCCCTGAATGGCTTCAGGTAACCAGGACAGGCTGAGGGCTTGGGCAGCATTGTCAGTAGCATCAGGTAGAATGAGCCTGTACCTTTTCATGATCGTATAGATATTATGGCCAATAAATGGTTTTTTTCAAAGAATTAAGCAGGACTGCCTATGCTCCAGCAATCCCATTTTTTGGTGTGCTGTATACATAAAGGAAATAAGGACACTACTTATTCTGGTTTATATGAGAGATGCCTCTGTAGGCTCATGTATTTCAGTATCTGGTTCCCAGCTGGTGAGGCCATTCTGGGGGCAGGGGGCAGGAGAGTTATGGAACCTTTAGACTCAGAGCCTTGCTAGAAAAAGTATGGCACAATGGCAGTGTTTGAGGGTTCATAGCCTGGTCTTTTGGCTTCCTGTGTGTACATGAAATGTGATCATTAAACTTCCTGTTCCTGCTGCCAGGCCTGCCCAGACTTAATGGACTTTGTCCCTCTGGAACTACATCCAAAAATTAGCCCCTTTCTCCTCTGCATTGCCTGTCAGGGTATTTCATCACAGCAGAGAGAAAGAAGCTAACACGGTTCAGCAAAGAGGCCTGTGGTCCACCTTTATTATGGTTCTACTCACCACAGCTAAGGTGTGGAACCAACCTAAGGTCTGTGATGGTCTTATTGGAGGCGGCATGTCACTGGGGGTGGACTTTGAGGTTTTGCATGCTCTCTTCCTTTCTCTCGGCTTCCTACTCACAAGTCAAGACACAGGAGCTCTTAAACGTTCCTCTGTTCCACCATCATGGACTTCGAACCTCTGAGACTGTAAGCCAAATCAAATACTTTTAAAAAATAAGTTGCCTTTAATGAATGTTCTTTCTCACAGTAAAAGATAATTAATTGAGATAGGACTATCATAAATAACATCTGTGTTTTATACTTAAGAGGGTAGATTTTAAATTCTCTCACCCACAAGTACTCATGTGAGATGATGTTCGGCTGTGTTAATTGTTTACTATGTATAGCTATATAAAATCATCATATTTTGTATCATAAATATGCAGAGTTTATTTTGAGATTATTTAAATTGATTTTTATTGAGCTCTAGATTTTTTTCTCTGCTCCCCTCCCTAACACTCTCCTCCCCTTCAACCCTTTCCCAAGGTCCCCATGCTCCCATTTATTCAGGAGATCTTGTCTTTTTCTACTTCCCATGTAGATTAGATCTATGTAAGTCTCTCTTAGGGTCCTCTTTCTTGTCTAGGTTCTCTGGGATTGTGATTTGTGGGCTGGTTTTCTTTGCTTTATGTTTAAAAACCACTTATGAGTGAGTACATGTGATAATTGTCTTTCTGGGTCTGGGTTACCTCACTCAAAACGATGTTTTCTAGTTCCATCCATTTTCCTGCAAATTTCAAGATGTCATTACTTTTTTTCTACTGTGTAGTATTCCATTGTGTAAATGTACCACATTTTCCTTATACATTCTTTGGTCGAGTTTTATTTAGGTTGTTTTCAGGTTCTGGCTATGACAAAGAATGCTGCTATGAACATAGTTGAGCACATGTCCTTGTGGGCACAATATACCCAAAAGTGGTATTGCTGGGTCTTGAGGAAGGCTGTTTCCTAATTTTCTGAGAAACTGTCACACTGATATCCACAGGGGCTGTACCAGCTTGCACTCCCACCAGCAATGCAGGAGTGTTCCCTTTACCCCACAACCTCTCCAGCATAAGTTGTCATCAGTGTTTTTGATGTTGGTCATTCTTATAGAGTGGTTTGAATTGTATTTTTCTGATGACTAAGGATGTTGAGTATTTTCTTAAGTGTCTTTCAGACATTTTGCATTCCTCTGTTGAGAGTTCTCTGTTTAGATCTGTACTCCATTTTTTTAAATTTATTTATTTATTTATTAAAGATTTCTGTCTCTTCCCCACCACCACCTCCCCTTTCCCTCCCCCTCCCCCAATCAAGTCCCCCTCCCTCATCAGACCAAAGAGCAATCAGGGTTCCCTGCCCTGTGGGAAGTCCAAGGACCACCCACCTCCATCCAGGTCTAGTAAGGTGAGTACTCCATTTTTTTAAATTAGGTTAATTGTTCATTTGATGACCAATTTTTTGAGTTTTTTATATATTTTGGAGATCAGCCCTCTGTCTGATGTGGGGTTGGTGAAGACTTTTCCCCTTCTGTAGGCTGTCGTTTTGTCTTGTTGCTTTACAGAAGCTTTTCAGTTTCAGGAGGTTCCATTTATTAATTGTTTCTCTCAGTGTCTGTGCTACTGAGGTTATATTTAGGAAGTGGTCTCCTGTGCTAATGAGTTCCAGTGTACTTCCCACTTTCTCTTCAATGAGGTTTAGTGTGGCTGGATTTATGTTGAGGTCTTTGATCCAGCTGGACTTGAATTTTGTGCATGGTGATAGATATGGATCTATTTTCATTCTTCTACAAGTTGATATACAGTTATGCCAGCACCATTTGTTAAATATGCTTTCTTTTTTGATATTTTTTGCTTCTTTGTCAAAAATCAGGTGTTCGAAAGTGTGTGTATTAATATCCAGGTCTTCGATTCAGTTTCATTGGTCCTCCTGTCTGGTTTTATGCCAATACCAGGCTGTTTTCAGTACTATAGCTCTATAGTAGAGTTTGAAGTAAGGAATTGTGATGCCTCCAGAAATTCTTTTATTGTACAGGATTATGTTGGCTATCCTGCATTTTTTTTTTGCTTTTCCATATGAATATGAGTACTGTTATTTCAAGGTCTATGAAGAATTTTTCAGGGATTTTGATGGGTATTGCATTGAATCTGTAGATTGCTTCTGGTAAGATTGCCATTTACTATGTTAATTCTACCTACTCAAAAACATGGGAGATCTTTCTACTTTCTGGTGTCTTCTTCAAATTGTTTCTTCAAAGATTTAAAGTTCTTGTCATAAAAGTCTTCCACTTGTTTGGTTAGATTTACTCTGAGATATTTTATGACATTTGTGGCTATTGTGTTGATTCTCTGATCTCTTTCTCAGTCCATTTATCATCTGTGTACAGGAGGGCTACTGTTTTTTTTTTTTTTGAGTTAATCTTGTATCCTGCTACATTGCTGAAAGTGTTTATGAGTTGTAAAAGTTTCTTGGTAGAATTTTTGAGATTGCTTATGTAAACTATCATATCATCAGCACATAGTGAGAATTTGATTTCTTCTTTTCTCATTTATAGTCCCTTGATTTCCCTTTATTGCCTTATTGCTCTAGCAAAGACCTTAAGAACTATAGTGAATAGACATGGAGAGAGTAGACAACCTTGTCTTTTTCCTGATTTCAGTAGGATCGCTGTGAGTTTCTCTCCATTTAGTTTGATGATGGCTGTTGGCTTGCTGTATATTGCTTTTTTATGTTTAGTTATGTTCTTTTTATCCCTGATCTTTTGAAGACCTTTATCATGAAGAAATGTTGTATTTTGTCAAAAGTTTTTTCAGCATCTAATGAGATGATCACGTGATTTTTAATTTTTAGTTTCTTTATATGGTTGATTATGTTGAGATTTCTGTATGTTGAACCAACCCTGTATCTCTGGAATGAAACTGACTTGATCATGGTGGATGATGGTTCTGATGTGATTGATTTGTCAGTATTTTATTTAGTATTTTTGCATCAATGTTCATGAGTAAGATTGGTCTGTAATACTCTTTGTTAGAAATGTCTTTATGTGGTTTGGGCATCAGTGTAATTGTAGCCTCATAAAAAGAGTTTGGCAATATTCTTTTTGTTTCTATTGCGTGGAACAATTTGAGGAGTATTGGTATTAGTACTTCTTTGAAAATCTTGAATTCTGAGCTGAAACTGGTGCGGGAGAATTGTCTGTAATCTGTCAATCATGTTTTGAATAAATGCTGATTGGCCAGGTAGGAAGTATAGGCAGGAAAACCAGACAGGAAAGTTTTCCTTCTAGTACTTTGTGTAGTAGTTTGTGTTGTGGCTAGGTATTGGCTAAATCTGGTTTTGTCATGGAATATCTTGTTTTGTCCTTCTATGGTGATTGAAAGTTTTGCAGGGCATAGTAGTCTGGGTTGCTATCTGTGATCTCTTAATGTCTGTATAATGCTTGACCATGACCTTCTGGCTTTCATTTTCTCCAATGAGAAGTCAGGTGTAATTCTGATAGGCCTGCCTTTATAGGTTACTTGTCCTTTTTCTTTTGCAGCTCTTAATATTCTTTTTTTTTATTCTGTATGTTTAGTGCGTTGATTATTATTTGGCAAGGGAGCTTTTTTTTGATCCAATTTATTTGGTGTTCTGTAAGCTTCTTGTATCTTCATAGGCATATGTTTCTTTAGGTTGGCAATGTTTTTCTTCTATGATTTTGTTAAATAAATTTTCTGTGCTTTTGAGTTGAACTTCTTCTCCTTCTTCTATACCTATTATTCTTAGGTTTGGTCTTTTCATGGTGTCCCATATTTCCTGGATATTTTCAGTTAAGCTTTTGTTACATTTAATGTTTTCTTTGACTGATGAGTCTATTTCTTCTATTTTATCTTCAGCGCTTAAGATTCTCTCTTCTATCTCTTGTATTCTGTTGTTTATGTTTGCGTCTGTGGTTCCTGATCATTCTCTCATGATTTCTGATTATATAATTCCCTTGGTTTGTGTTTTCTTTATTGTCTCTATTTCAGTTTTCAAGCCTTGAATAGTTTTTTTCATATATTTTATTGCTTTTTCTTCATTTTCTTTAAGGATTTCTTCTACTTTTTTTGTTTGTCTTTTCCTACACTTTTAAAAGGGAATTTCTCATTTCTTCTTTAAGAGTTTCAAACATTCTCTTGAAGTTATTTTTTAGGTAATTTTCTTCTGCTTCATCTATATTTGGTTGATCAAGTCTTGCTGTTGTAGGGTCTCTAGATTTTACTGGTGTTGTGTTGGTCTTTGTGGTTTTACATGTGTTCTTACCTTGTCTACTCATTTTTCCCTCTAATTGGTGTGGTTGGGGCTGTCTGTGATTCTGGTGATTAATTTTCTAGATGCCAGTGGATCCAAGGCTCAGATGGTTGTTCTTCATGGTACAGTCAGTGCCACAGTTTTAGTTACCCCATTGGTCACTCCATGTTCCTGGAGGACACTCAGCACTCCCAGGGTTTACTCTGCTCCTGAGTAGTTTGCTGTCTCAGCCCTGCTCTGGTCTAGGTTGCTAGCTCAGACCTGTTTCTGTAAATGTCCCATGTCTCGATCTGTTCCTGTAGAGGTCCTTGGCTTGGGGTTGGTCCTGTAAAGGTCTCTGGCTCTGATCTTCTCCCTTGGAGGTCCCAGCCTTGGGTGCACCTGGACCTATAAAGGACCTGGCTCAGGCCTACTCTTTCAGAGGTCCCAGGCTCACATCCAGATCCGCAGAGGTTTCTGGTTCCTGCCTATTACCGCAGAGGTCCCAGACCAATGCCTGGACCTGCAGAGGTCCTGACTCAGGTCTACTCCCTCAGAGGTCCCAGATTCATTTCTGGACCTGCAGTGGTCTCTGGCTCCGACCCACCCACTCAGCAGTTGATCCCCCTGTACCTGCTCCTGTGGAGTTTGCTGTCTCAGGTCTGCTCCTCCAGGGCTCAGGTAGCTTTCTCAGTCTTGCCTCCACAAATGTCCCTGGTCTGAATCTGTTCCCACTTCCGTGGTGCTTACAGTCTCAGGCCTGCTCTGGCCTAGGTCAATGGCTCAGTCCTGCTCTTATGGAGCTTGCTACCTCAGGCCTGTTCCAGACTAGATTACTGGTCTAGTCCTGCTTCTGCAAATATCCCTGGTATGGATCTGCCCCTGCTCCCATGGAGTTCACCATCCCAAGCCCACTCTGGCCCAGGTTGCTGGTTCAGTCCTGCTCCTATTGTTGTCCCAGCTATTTTAAGATATTTTTTTTAAAAAAATTTCTGTGTACAAGTATTCTGTCTGTCTGTTTGTTTGTCTGTGTATATGTGTTCCATTATGTGCCCTATCCCATGGAGACCAGAAGTGGGTATCAGGTCCCCTGGAACTAGAATCGTAGACAATTGTGAACCAGTCTCCGTTGCTCTGCAAGAGCATCAGGGGCTCCTAACTACTGAGCCATCCCTACAACCCCAATACACACAATTTTTATTTTTCCCCTCTCCCAAGGAATCTAGTGGTGGCAGGGGATGGAGGAGGAATATAATAACTCTTATCTATTATAGGTATTGCCTCATTTCCCTGAAGGTTCTGTCTTCCTTGACATACTCATTTAAGTGCATTTAATGCGGAGTTGGTTCAGAAGATGTGAAAAATGAACTGAAAGTTGTCATATTTCCCCTCTCCTCCCCGAACTAATGATTTGTGAAGCTGATTATATCCATCCATAATGCTTGGAGCAGAACCCAAAGAAATGGGAGCTATTTTTTCCTATTAGAGTAATGCAATAAGGAGTGGATTTTATAAATCTTTCCTTGGTATTTAAAAAGCCTCAATTGTTATTTTCAAAATGTGAAATATTATTAACATTATGATAATGGAATTAAATGTCAGGTCAAAAATCTCATTTAAAAGATTATGAAAAATTAAAATGAAAGAGTTTTCCCATGATAGATAGAAAGGCTATCTACTTTCTAGACAATAGACAGAAGGACTGGCCTAGAATTGTTCCAGAAAACTGTAGGCAAATGCTCAGTTACTTATGAGAAGCAAAAACGAAATCTGCAAATCCAGACATGCTATTTCCTGTTTTGTCATTCACAAGAAAGTTGCCTTGAGTTCGCCATGCAGGCCCAAAGGTGGTTCTTGGAAGGCAGCGTGACTCTGTCTCCCCATACCTCTGATTACCGACTGCTCTGCCCAGAACAATGACCCATCTCTGTACACATGCCTCTCTATGTTTTTGGATTGGGCTGGGATGTCATTGGATGGTACCCTTATCTTTTATCATTTTCATATGTCTGGCTTTTTCCAAAGTCTGAATTTATGTTTTCATCCTTCTCTCTAACTTTGGGTAAACTCTGCAATGGGTCCTCATTGCAAAGGGTTCAGTTAATAACAGTCTACCCCCCTCCCTCCAGGACCTATTAAGATCCTGGTTCTTGTTTGAT